GCGTGCTGAAGCCGCCTCGGGCCTTCTTTCAGGTCCCCGCGAGGGGCCAACTTCGGGCCCCGCGACCACACTCGGCCCTGTGTGACTGGAGCCGCCCCAACCGGAAGTGGAGCCTTCACCGGGGCCATAGGCCAGTGACTAGGCCGAGCCCGGGCCTCCCGACGGGGCCGGACTGGAACAAGGCCCCGGGGAGGCCCCGAGCCCACTAAACCCTTCCCGCAAATCGACTCGCCGGGAAGATGCAGCGCGCCTTGCCGGGCGCTCGCCAGCACTTGGGGGCCATCCTGGCCAGCGCCAGCGTGGTGGTGAAAGCCCTGTGCACAGCGGTACTAGTCCTCTACCTGCTGTCCTTCGCCGTGGACACAGGCTGCCTGGCGGTCACCCCAGGCTACCTCTTTCCACCCAACTTCTGGATCTGGACCCTGGCCACCCATGGGCTGATGGAGCAGCATGTGTGGGATGTGGCCATCAGTCTGGCCACAGTGGTGGTAGCAGGACGTTTGCTGGAGCCTCTCTGGGGGGCCTTGGAGCTGCTCATCTTCTTCTCGGTGGTGAATGTATCTGTGGGGCTGCTGGGGGCCTTTGCCTACCTCCTCACCTACATGGCTTCCTTCAACCTGGTCTACCTTTTCACTATCCGCATCCACGGTGCCCTGGGCTTCCTTGGGGGAGTCCTAGTGGCACTCAAGCAAACCATGGGGGATTGCGTGGTCCTACGAGTGCCCCAGGTGCGGGTCAGTGTGGTGCCCATGCTGCTGCTGGGGCTGCTGCTGCTGTTGCGGCTAGCCACTCTGCTTCAGAGTCCAGCCCTGGCCTCCTACGGCTTCGGGCTGCTGTCCAGCTGGGTGTACCTTCGCTTCTACCAGCGCCATAGCCGAGGCCGAGGGGACATGGCTGACCACTTTGCATTCGCCACCTTCTTCCCTGAGATCCTGCAGCCCGTGGTGGGGCTGTTGGCGAACTTGGTGCATGGCCTCCTGGTGAAGGTGAAGCTCTGCCAGAAGACAGTGAAGCGCTATGATGTGGGCGCCCCGTCCTCCATCACCATCAGCCTCCCGGGCACAGACCCTCAGGACGCAGAGCGGAGAAGGTACTGTGGAATCTCGTGCATCCTTGTCAAGCTAGGAGAGTGTTGCTTGTTCGAGTCACATTCTGACAGTTGAGATGCTTGCTGTGCGTAGGTGGCAGCCAGGGTTCAGGTGTTAGGTAGATTCAGGAAGAGATCAAGTCTGGTTTGTGTGTCTTGAGAAATAGCATCTAGTATTTTCCAACACTAGGAAGTAAAAGTTGCCTTCCTGTGCCCAGGCCACTTAAGATATCTCAAGGAATGCCCAGTTTCCTTTGATGCTTTTTGAGACACCAAAAGGAAGCATGGTACACATAACCCTGGCCTTTTCTCACACCGTTGGGATCCTAGAGCCTAATCTTGTGGTAGCCAGAAACCACCTGCTGAATCATTTCACCCCAATAGGGAAGGAATAACAGAGGAGACTTGGAAACCTTTAGAAGCCATCTGGAGTACCCCCAATTTCCAAGTGTCTCAGTTTAGATGTTGTATTTCTCTGCCTCTTACTTGGGTACTACTAGGGTTAGCCACCACATGGAGTATATGTACCCCAAAACCAGGACACAGGATTGAGGGAGTCTGCTGACCACACCTTGGGATAGAAACCACCCTTCTTTTATCTGTAAACCAAGCCATCAGGCAACCTGGCTGAATTATTCACTGGATACACCTTGGCCAGGGCAAGACACCTCTTTTTTTTTAAGCTAGCTCAGCTCTGTAGACTGAGAGTGGTCATAGCTCCATTTCCAGCCTTCTTGAAGGTATGTGTTTACTTGAATATTGAAATCTAGAACAGGCACTTTGTCAAAGCTCTGCTTTTGCTCACCTAAGGAACAAGTTCTTGGCTTGGTCACTTTATAAATTCTGAAGTTAGCCCTCTGTGTGCTCTCCAGTGAGCTGTGGGTTTGAGGTCAATCCCTTTGTTGTTTTATTTTGGGGTTCACCATGGATATACTGGCAATGCTTGGGAGGCCAGGCAGTGCCACATCAGACCCGAGACCCCCAGCATGCCAGGTCTGTGTTCCATGCCTTTGAGTTGTTTTCCAAGCTCCATGTCCCATTGTTCATAGTTTCTAGCTGGAAAGGGTGACAGGTTACTGTGGTCCAAGATGGTGGGTGTCAAAGATACACATGTTACCCAAGCGCCAGGGCCTAATTCTGTAGCCTATATTTGTCTCTGGCTAATAAATCCTAAAATTAAAAAAAAAATGTCTTAACCTTATCTAGTGGAGATGGAGCCAGAGAGCTTTTATACTAACTGCCCTCAAAGCACTTGAGGTGGAGTTAGCCAGAGTTCACTGACAGTGAACTCTGTCGATGAGAGTTCTTGGATTGTTAGGGTTGGCTGATATTCACAATATCCTTGCCTAGATCAAAGGAGATTAACAGGTGGATGGGGTGGGGCGGGGTCTGTGTGTGTGTGTGTAGGATGCAGCAAGCCTAATGGTTATTAGCTTACTAGGGGTGCAAGTTTCTCCAATCTGTTTGAGATCTAACTGCATACAGCTCCCACACCCCAATGGTTCTGAGTAGAAGGAAGCAGTTTCTCATCCTTGACCCTTATAAGGAAATCATTAACAGGCCACTGCTTTGGCATTTTAAGAGAACTGACAAGGGATTCCATGGGGCAGGTGTCTGGGTCGGTAGCAGCAGGGGGAAAAAACATTTTGACTGCCAACTTGCTGTGTGTTACGCTAAAGGACAGGTTGGAAATATGCTGGGACTTCCTGTACCTGTGTCCTTGTTATCTTTCCTGTCACACACCCTGGCATGATGGAGATGTTGGTTCTTTGCCGGATCTGGAAACCTCCACAGGCGGTCTCCAGGCTGAGGCATCAAGGAGCCACAGTAGTGCTCCCAGAAGCTATCACTGGCAGCAAGAGTCTTGCATGGCTCTTTAGCAGGACCCTCAAGGGTTGCCCTTTGGAGCCAGGGGGCTTAAGTTCTAGGCCATGACCTACTCACTGGCGATTTTTCCTTTATCTCTTCTACAAAGGCTAAGTATGACCCTGCAGTCTGCTGTGGTCCTGGTATTTCTGGGAAGAATATTAACAGTCAGGTAGGAGGGGTGGGCAGCCCAAGCTGGCCTGTTTCCCAGGCTGAGAGCTGAGGCAGGTGTTTGAATTTCAGCTTTCCCCACACAGTCACGCCAAAGGACTCATGACACCCTAATAAAGAGAGGGGAGAAGTAACAACCCTCTCCTTGGGTATGGTGTCTGTTGCCCAATCAGAAAGTTCTGTCCAAGGGTTTGCCCTGCCACCCATCTGCCCAGAACACCAGTTCTGCCCACTCTGTAGTACCACTCTCAGAATCAGTCTTTGGGCTGCCAGGTGGGTGGTCTGGCAGATCCCAAACTGGCCTTTTCAATCTGTTGGTACCCCAGTTATAAAGGGAAGGCTTTAGCCTTTGAGTCCTCATTCTGATGATATAGTGAGTCCAAATCTCTGTGAGTCCAGAGCCTGCACGGAGACAGGGATACAGGGAGCCTGAGCAGAAACAGGTGTCAGCTTCCTGAGACAGCCAGGCAGGGGCCTAGTCCAGACCCAGAGTGACCTGCCATCTTTCCTCTGACCAGGCAACTGGCCCTGAAGGCCCTGAATGAGCGGCTGAAGAGAGTGGAGGACCAGTCTGTCTGGCCCAGCATGGACGACGACGAAGAGGAGGCTGGGGCCAAGGTGGAAAACTCGCTGCCTTCAGACAAGGCTCCCACACTACCAGGAAAGGGGGCTCTCCCAGAGTCCAGCCTAATCACCTTTGAGGCAGCTCCCCAAAAGCTGTAACTCCAGACCACCTCAAGTGTAACGCCTCTTCGCCCATGCTCCCCTTGACACCCTCTCCGCTACTCCAGAGCTTTGACTGCTCTGAGGAGAGGGAAGAAGGCCCACTGGAGATTTTCACAGTCTTCTGTTTCTTGCCAACACTACCCAGGATTCTTGTTACCTGGTTCCAACTCCAGACAACCACTATGCCAGGAACGGGACTTCTAAGGCATCAGACAGTCCCAGGCCATCTGAGGTAAGACTGTATTCCAGCAGGCAGCCCCAAACAAGGGACAACAGGTGCCACAACTCCCAAGTCAGCCTTCACACCTGAGACTGGTTGCCGAGAGCCTAGAGCCAAGGCAGGAAATTGCCAAAAGAAAAACGACATTTTATGGCGAAGCAGGAGCAAGCCCGCAACATTTTGTGCAGGAGCAAGCCCTGAGTTGCACATCCCTGCCCACCCCAGAAAGACTATGTTCATGTCAAGATTTGATTCCCTGTACTGTGGCGGTGACTGCTTCTGGGCCAGAGCAGCCATGGTCCCCAGGTATTTTCTACAGGACCACTTGATCGGGCGGCTAAGCCCAGCCTCGCAGTATCAATAAAGCAGTTCTTTGAGGTATGGCTCCTCGGCTCTGTAAGACCACCTTGTGCAGCCCCCTTACTTTGCTCAGCTTTGGGGGTGTTTCCATTTAGGGGACTTGGTCCCTCCCTAGGGAAATTCCAACTAGGATCAGCAACCCATGTCCACTGCTCCCACCATTAACTCTATGCCTACTGCCAATATCCTCCAGAGCTGCCACCTCAGCCTTAATGTATTCTTTCCTCCGTTCCCCAGTCAAGGGAGGCCCTGGTCACAGACCAACGATTAAGGGGTTCTTATCACAGCCTTTTTTTTTCCTTTTGGTTTTGGGCCCATCAGCAGTTTTCAGGGCTAACTCCTGAAAACTCCTGGATTCACCGCTGGTGGGCTCAAGAGACCATATGTAGTGCCAGGGATCAAACTTAATTATCTGCATCCAAGGAAAATGGCTTAGCTGCTCTACTATCTTCCAGTCTCTATCAAAGCCCTTTTTTTGGTGTTAAGGATTAAGCCTAGAAAAAGACAACTGTTCTGCACCTGAGCTTCCTCCCTAACCCAGGAACTGGTCTTATCCTTGGCCTACCTCAAAGGCAGAGCGCTTGGTGCATGACACTTAGGAAGACAGCCCATCCCCAGCTCCCATCCAGGCATTTTTGAGATCTGACCACCAGTCTGGAGACCCCAGCATAGCAGGCAGGTGGGAGGCTTACAGGACACAGCTGTTCCTTTCAGTGACAGCCTAGGGCCTGCATGCTTGTCAGTGAGCAATCCGGGACAAGGGATGACCATCTTACCCAGCTGCCCAACATTTCGTGCTGACAGCAGTTGCAAGAACTACCCTCAACTCTGGGCTCTGCCTCCCAGTTAGTCTTTTCAGTCATTTATTTTACTTTTTTTTTCCTCCTGTAATTTCTGGACATACCAACGTGAACTGAATTTCTGGGGAAGCACTCTTACAATCCCAGCTTTATCCAGACATAATTCATATATATCCTCCTCTGACAAAGGAGAGGAAAGGGGGCACACTCATGGGGGGGAGGGAGCAAGCAGGAATGTTGCACACAGGACTCCTCCTCTGATTGCTCCAGTGCCTGAGGTGGCCCCATGACCTAGTCAACTGAGAGAATCCAGCCCAGCTGGAGCAAACCCAGGATTCCCCTAAATTGGGAAGAGCTTATGGCTGGATCCTTTTGCGGTACAAGTAGGCATTGCTCACCTGGTTCATGATGACTAAGCTTGTGATAATGGGGCAGAGCACAGCCAGGTACCAGAACCCACCAGTGACTGTGGCAGTGAACCAGAGTGAACACATGCCCAGCAAAAGGCTGGCACTACCCAAGAGGTAGCACACTAGACCAGAAGTGGCATGATACAGCTTAAGCTTGGCCAGGGGCCATCGGGGCAACAGTTTGGGGTAGAGTAGCCCCACCCCACCTGAGCACTGCAGCCCGGCCCACAGCACAGCTAAAAGCCCAGCCTGCCCATGCCACGTGGCCAAGTGGGCTTTGCCCAGCTGTTCCTTGTGGAGGATGACAAGGCCCAAACCCAGCAGTGCACACAGCAGGGCCAGCAGCTGCAGTACCCAGTGACAGCGTGTCCGGCCCTTCCGAGAGAGGGAGCGCAGCAACGAACTCTCAGGAGAGAATACCAGCAGGGCCTCGGTCATCAGGAAAGAGAACTGGGAAGACAGGAATGGGACACAAAGTGAGGAGAAGAGGGCTTTAGGTAACAAGCTGCCAGTAAATGCCAGCAGTCCCCCCTCTTCATTCTCTCACCACCGACAACAGTATCCATTATGAGGGGCAAGCCTGGAGAACTCCTGGATATAACATCCAGCCTGAGGAACCAGCAAGGTGCCTCTCCAAGCTTCTTCCTGGATGCTTTTCTAAAATGCTATCTCTGTTACCCAGCACACAAGGTTTGAGATGTGAGAGTCATAAATGATTCACAAGATCTGTTTCTTTGACACAGAATGGATACAGTTTCTTGGCAAGCACTAGCTGCATAGGTGTACTGTTACAGGGAAAACTAGATGTGTCACTATAGATTAAGGTATAAAGGAACACATTCACCCAGATGCATTCCTTTTTTCTTTTTCTTTTTTCCTTTTTTCTTGTTTTGGACCATACCTGTTCATGACTCAGGGTGCTACTCCCAGTTCTGGTGGGTGGTTGGGTGGGGATTACCCAGAAGTACTCAGGGAACCATGCAGTGCCAGGCTTCCTACATGCAAAGCATGCTTTCAGCCCACTGTCCTCCAACCCATCATCCAAATGCATTCCTAAGCTTCCTGCATGGAGGTGAGTGAAGCCTCATTTTGTGCTTAAAATGAGCTCAACCAACTTGTACTTGGTCTTAAACATCCTGGGGTTCAAGTCAGAGATGGAGTTGGGCAAAAGATGACACAGGCAATTCTTCCAATCCCATATCCCATCCAAACAGATACTGAGTGTAAGGATTAAAAGGCCTCAGGGCCACTGCCCATACCTATACTACCTCCCGCATCTCCCCTAATCCCCTAAGATCTGGTCAGACCCACTACTTACAGCCAGAGACATAAGCACAGGGTGCCAGGAGAACAAACCTGGAATGAGAAGAGGAGGCTTTTTGGGGCTGAAGCAAGAAGAACCCAGCCAGCCATACCATCCCTGACAGGCTAAGGGAAACGGCAGTTCACGGCCCAAAGCAGTGTTGTCAGATTGTGAACCACTTCTTTTTGCAAGCTGACCCAATACCTATTGTCTCTTCCCAGTTCCTCCCTGGGTTAGAGGCCATGCTTGGCGACTTTTCTGTCAGTCCTCCTTCCTTTCTGCAGCACACTGCAAAGGCAGTCAACTAAAGCACCAAGACAAAGAAAGAATCCAGGTACTCTGGGGCAGGGCCAAGTTGGCAGAGCTCCCATATCCACCTGCTCTGTCCTACTTATCCCTCCAACATTCTGTGGTTCGTTCATGCCCAGTCATCCAGGTCTGTTCCAGGAGATGGATACAAGGATTCCTACTGCCCTTGCTGCCCAGAAAAGGCGTAACTTTTCTTTCCCAGATGTCAACCATGAATTTTACTTACTGGAGCCAGGTCTGGCAAGCACAGTCACAAAGATGGTGAAGCCCAAGGCCACAAGGTGGGCAGCAGCTCCAGAGGCAGTGCGTAGAACTCTGTAGATGTGTGATTCGGTTTCCACAGAAAGGGCCATGGTCATCCAGGCCGGTACCTGTAGCCTGAAAACATGACAGAGGGGCAAGAGTCTCAGGTACCCTATATCAGTTCCTCACTGGAGAAAGGGCTAGACAGGAATATCAGTCTCTTTCAAGAAATTAAGATAGAAGTTAAGGTAGAGAGGCAAAGTAGCAAGCCAAGTACCAGGAGTAGTTACTATAAAGCTGCCGTGATCGGTGGCCTATCAGCATGTACCCATATGCGAACTGGAAATGATCACTGACCCACCTTCCAGGTAGGATGCGCAAGACCGTGTATTAAGACTACAAGTACCAGAGTGCACCACGCCGTCTCCTGCCAAGAGCGCCAGCAGGAAGAATATGGAGCACTAGGGGAGTTGTAGTTCCCGGCTGCATCCGTACGACAGCGTGAATGCATTAGTGCACAGCACCCGCCTGTGCGGCTCTCATGCAGCCTCTACCGCTAGGGACCAGCCTGCCTCACCTGCAACACCGGCCGTCCGCGGTGACTTCTTCCCGAGAAAACGGGATACTCGGGGGCCGGCCGTGCGCGCCGCCGCTCCGTCTCCTCACTTCCGGGTGCGACGTACCCGCCCGGGACTTCCTGGATGAGCCCCACCCACCCTCAGCCACACCTCTGAGCCGCAGTGCGCAGGCGCCCGTGAGCAGCTGGCCGCTCGCGCGCAGGAGCGCGCAGGCCTGCGCGATCCCAAGACGCGGGGCTTTGGGCTGCTTCTGGCAGGTGTGTTTCCAGTATCTGGGCACCTGGGAACTGCCCATTCTCGCCCGTTGGAGCCATGGGCAGCGGCTGCCGCATCGAATGTATTTTCTTCAGCGAATTCCACCCCACGCTGGGACCCAAGATCACCTATCAGGTACCACCCAGGTTCGCGGGGAGGCGGTGTGGATCCCCGTGCTGCACGCAGACACGGCGGCACGCCACTCTCGTTCGCAGACAGTATCGGAGAGGATACTCTAATGCTGGCCCTGGCTCCCGGGGTGTTGGGGCCGATAATCATCACATGGGCAGTGATTGCGGGAGATCACGACTTGGGGGGCAGAGGAGAGCAGAGGGGCCACAGTGGACGATCCACTCTGCATGCACAGGAATTTAAATAAGGGGAGTAGAGCTGAAGGGTATAGTATATACGCAAAAGCCAGGAGACATAAAAACATAAAACATGGCCAATGAAAACAAAAACATAGCCAATGACTAGAAACAACAGTAGAGGCAGGGGCTGGAGAGAGAATACAGCGGGTAGGGCGTTTGTCTGGCATACAGCTGACCAGGGTTCAATCCCTGGAACCCCATACGGTCAACAGTAATAAGCCCTGAGAGGGCCGGAGAGATAGTACAGCGGGTAGGGTGTTAGCCTTACACCCAGCTGACCCAGGTTCCATCCCCAGCATCTCATATGGTATCCCAAGCACCGCCAGGAGTAATTCCTGAGCTCAGAGCCAGGAGTAAGGCACCACCGGGTGTGGCCCAAAAGCCTAATAATAACAGCAACAATAATAGCCTGGAGGAAAGAAGAAAAGCGAGAGAAGCAGTTTTCTGCTTTTTAGGTCACCCTGACTCTTCAGCTCCATGGTCCTCTAAGGCAGTGTTTTTCAACCACTGAACATTCCAAGGGGCCACAGGTGAGATCAGATAAATGAAGCATTTAGAGCACAAGACTAGGGGGCCGGTAGACTGGGGGGAGTCACAGGAAAGGAATGAGGTTGGAAGGGGCCACAGTTGGACAAAGTTGAGAAACGGGCTGGAATGATAGCACAGCAGATAGGGCATTTGTCTTGCACTGGCCGACCCGGGTTCGATTCCCAGCATTCCATATGGTCCCCCGAGCACTGCCAAGAGTAATTCCTGAGTGCATGAGCCAGGAGTAACCCCTGAGCATTGCCAGGTGTGACCCAAAAAGCAAAAAAAAAAAAAAAGTTGAGAAACAGTTCTAAGGTGCCTCTTATCACTCTGCTCCCCTCTCCAGGTCCCTGAGGATTTCATCTCCCGGGAGTTGTTTGACACAGTCCAGGTGTACATCATCACCAAGCCAGAGCTGCAGAACAAGCTTATCACTGTGTGAGACCCTTGGACAGGAGAGGATGGAGGGGTTCGCAGGAAATGTGGATAGGCCTGGAGACTAAAGGAATTAACTGTTTGCATCTTTTCACCCCGTCTAGCACAGCTATGGAGAAGAAACTCATTGGCTGCCCGGTGTGCATTGAGCACAAGAAGTACAGCCGCAATGCCCTGCTCTTCAACCTAGGCTTCGTGTGTGATGCCCAAGCCAAGACCTGTGCCCTTGAGCCCATTGTCAAAAAACTGGCTGGCTACCTTACCACACTGGAGGTCCACAAAATGATGGGCTTGAGTGGGTGGGCAGGCTGAGCTGGGGAAGGTGTCCCCAGACTAGGGATAGGGTGCTAGCCATGCATCCTGAGAGGTATACCCACCATGCTGTCCATGCCCCTTCCAGCTGGAGAGCAGCTTTGTGTCATCTGAGGAGAGTAAGCAGAAGTTGGTGCCCATCATGACCATCTTACTGGAGGAGCTAAATGCCTCAGGCCGGTGCACTCTGCCCATTGGTAAGGCCCAGCCTCTGCAAAGACAGCAGAAGGGTAGATAGGAAAGTATCAGGGGAAGATGACTCCAAGCAAGGATGAGACTCATGCACCAGTGGCTAGGAAATAGTCAAGAATGGGGCTGATGATGCCAGCGTCCAGTGCATTGTGGGAAGGAGGTTAGAGAAATGAGAGGCCAACAAGACCTCCCCAGCTCTGCTCTTTGCATGTTCTTTGCCGTCTCTGGTTCTCCTCTTACTCCATAAAAGGAGGTAATTAGCTCATTCAGAAATGCCTGCTTACCTCAAGGGTGAATGAGAGGGATGAATGAAAATTAAGGGTCTCTTTGTGGGCCAGAAATATAGTACAGTGGTTAAGACACTTGTCTTGCACATAGCTGACCCAAGTTCAATTCCTGGCACCCCATGCCTCCCCAAGCCCCACCCAGGAATGATCCCTGAGCACAGAGCCAGGAATATGCTCTGAATACTGCTGGGTGTGGCCAAAAACTAAAAAACAAGAAAAAGCCCCTTAGAAGAAATGGTGGGTATGGAGAGATAGTATAATGAGTAGGCTACTTGCCTTGCCTTGCACATGGCTAACCTATGTTCAGTCCTAGAACCCCATTAGTCCCATAGGCTCCAGCAGGAGTCATTCCTGAACACAGAGCTAGGACTAACTCCTGACCATCACCAGGTGTGGCTCAGAAACAAACAAAAAAGGGGCTGGGGAGGAATGGCACTAAGGATATGAATGGGGGCCCCTACAGATGAGTCCAACACCATCCACTTGAAGGTGATTGAGCAGCGGCCTGACCCCCCTGTGGCCCAGGAATATGATGTGCCTGTCTTTACCAAGGACAAGGAGGATTTCTTCAACTCACAGTGGGACCTCACCACACAACAGGTGTGCAGGCCTTCCTCCTAATCACCACAACCTTGGCCTCATCCCGCCCTTCCTTACCCTGTCCTGCCCTGCCTAGATCCTGCCCTACATTGATGGTTTTCGCCACGTCCAGAAGATTTCAGCTGAGGCAGACGTGGAGCTCAACCTGGTGCGCATCGCCATCCAGAACCTTCTGTGAGTGAGGTGGCCATTGGCTTAGGACAGTGAAGGGCCAAGGCTGAGTGGGGCCTGGGAAGGCATGACTCTCAAAAGCTGAGCGCCTCTGTCTCCCCAGGTACTACGGTGTGGTGACACTGGTGTCCATCCTCCAGGTAGGTGAGTCAGGCTTCTCCCTGGAGACAGCATGTGACTGGGCCAAATGGGCCCTGTGTAAGGCTTCCCAGCCCTCACTCTGGCCCTTGTGCCTCTTGTTACCTTCTAGTACTCCAACGTGTACTGCCCAACACCTAAGGTCCAGGACCTGGTAGATGACAAGTCCCTGCAGGAGGCGTGTCTGTCTTACGTGACCAAGCAAGGTAAGGACAGGCTCTGGAGGCAGCTGTATGGGGGAGAGGAGGGCCACCTTGAGAGCTGACCCCTGGCACCTACAGGGCACAAGAGGGCCAGTCTCCGGGATGTGTTCCAGCTATACTGCAGCCTCAGCCCTGGCACTACTGTGAGAGATCTCATTGGCCGCCATCCCCAGCAGCTGCAACGTGTAGATGAAAGGTCAGAGGGGGCTCTGTAGGGGCATGGGGGGAGGGGGTTTCCTGAGGCACTCCATTTTGTATTTCTTTGGGAAGCTTTGGGGATCCGAGAGAATGCAAGTAATGACTGAGCAGAAGCATATGGTACTGCTAGTCCATGCAGGCTTCCTGAAGGTGATGACTTGGTGGGCAATGCTGGAAGGGGTTGACCAGACTGTAAAGAGTTCTGGCCAGGGCATCACTCCTCTCTCTTGCAACCCCACCCACCCCAGGAAACTGATCCAGTTTGGACTTATGAAGAACCTCATCCGGCGGTTACAGAAGTATCCTGTGCGTGTGTCCCGTGAAGAACGGAGCCCGGCCCGACTTTACACAGGCTGCCACAGCTATGATGAGATCTGCTGCAAGACAGGTAGAGGCAGGGTGGGCAGTTGGGGTGGGGTCAGGGAAGGGTGGCCAAGCTAAGGCTGCTGACCTCACCTCCACCCCCACGCCCAGGCATGAGCTACCATGAGCTAGATGAACGGCTGGAAAATGACCCCAACATCATCATCTGCTGGAAGTGAAACTAGTGGAGATTCTTGCCTACCCTACCCTGCCTGCTACAAAGGGACAGAGCAGCAGACTGCTCTGGCCCACCTCAAGGTTGACCCAGACTTCTGTAAATAAAGTCATTCATTTCTGCCTACCTGCCTTGAGTACTTCCTCTGAGCAGTCCGCGCAGATGCTACAGTGAGTGGAGCGGCCTTGGTGCAAGCGCTCAGGAGCGCCATCTGCTGAGTAGGATGGCGCTAGTAAGCCCGCTAATAAGAAACTGAAAGAAAAATCAGGGAGAGGAAGCTTTAAGAGTGATGTGGGATCAGAGTTGGAGCAGCAACCCATTACAGGGCTGGGAAGGGCCCTTGGAGGTAGCATAAGTTGAGGCCTGAAGGAGGGAAAAGAGGAAGCCTCTGGTGGGGAGATAGCTCCAATGAAGAGCACTGCCAGAAGCAGGCTCTGAGCACAGGGTGACCCAAAAATAAAAACTGCCTGATGGGGGAGATAGTTCAGAGAGCTAGCACACATGAAGACTTTGCAAGCTGGTGGCCTGAATTGGGGCCCCTGACATCACCTGAGCATAGGGCCAGGAGTAGGTCCCGAGCATCTTTGACTATGGCCCCAAACTCAAAGAATAAGAAGAAATGAAGTTCCAGGCAAGAGACATAGTACAAGGGGTAAGACACTTTCATGTGGTAGACCTAACTTCCATCCTCCCTTATGGTCTCCTCAAGTATGGACTGGACTGAACACCACTGGGTGTGGCCTCCAAATCAAAAAGAAAAAAATGAAGTCCCAAGGCAGGAGAGGGGCAAAAGCTGAAGCTGCAGCGCTGCTAGCAACCTGGTTAGACAAAATTTTGAGGGAAAGAATCACCCTCGGGCCAGAGAGCAACGTCTAATATGCACCTTTAAGAAACCTTGGCTGAATCTTGAAACACAGCGGCTTTTGGCAGAAATGCGTCCTGACCCCACAGTAGGTTACTGTAGCCGGGCCACCCCCAGGGGGGAAAGGGTATTGTCCCTCTGCCTGCTCCCCCTAGGCGGCTCGGTGGCCATCACCCTCCAGAGGCCATTGGACAGTCAGGTCTGGGCCCGCAGTGATGAAACTTGTTGGGCCTCACAGGATGGGGGTGAAGCTGGTCCTGGTCTCCCCGTCCCAACGAGATCCCGAGTCATTGCTCACGAATGGCCTCTCTGGCTCCTGATGAAGCTGCTCAACGGCCATGATCCCAGAGACTCAGGAGCAAATCTCAAAACCCAGTGGCTTTTGGCAGAAATCCCTCCAGATTTAAGTGTTAAAATCTCAGAATTTCAAAATTGTGCAGCCACTATTGCAGCCACATGACATCATATGTTATTCATAACCAGCAATAGAACACAAATTGTCTACTGTTGCCTTTTCAGCAGATCTGAGTGTTGGGGTAAAATCTCAAATAATAATGGTGGGTCTGGTGTCAAAATATTGAATGTGATCAAAGTGGAGAGAGAGAGTAATGTGGAAATCATCTGCCCCACAGGTAGGGGGAGGGTGTGGGATGGGGGTATATTGGGTTTTTTGGTGGTGGTGAAGGTACAGGTGTTTCATTGCATGACCGAGACAGACCTGAAAGCTCTGTAACTGCTCTCACAGTGATTCAATAAATAAAATTATAAAAAATGAAAAAAAAATGGAGGTTTTTTTCTGCCAAAAATGAAAAAAAAACGGAGTTCATGCACAATTCAATCAGCTAATCAGTGGCTGAATAAATAGCAGTACTTATACATAAAAAAAATTTTTTTAATTAAAAAAAATTAACAAGGCGCGCATTTGCTGCCCGAGCCCATGTGCTGCTTGTGCCCACGTGGCCGAGCACATGTGGTGCCCGAGCACATGTGTCGCCCGCATCTCCCCTCTTGAGATGTGTACTTTCATGCTTTCGTGTCAACTTTACTCTCTCACTCTCTCTCCCTCCCTCCATACCTAAAAATCCTCCAAATAAAATCTATTTTAAAAAAAAATTAACAAAAGAAACCTTGGCTGGGGCCCCAGCAATACTACAGTGGGTAGGGTCTTTGCCTTACAGATGACCAGGGTTCAATTCCTGGCAATTCCATATGGTCCTCTGAGTCCTGCAGGAGTGATCCCTGAGCACAGAGCGGAACCAAGAGCAAACTCTGAACACAGCCCGAGGGGGGTAAGGGATAGGGGAGACCCATTTCCTGACTTCAGGGGAGGTGCGCAGCCCAGAGTAGATGGGAGAATTAGTATTAAGCGGGTAGAGCCACCAGATGGCGCTGGGCAGCCGGGAGAAGCGCCTCCACGGGGCTGGAAAGGAGCCGTGCAAGCGGGGCTGGGGAGGCCGTGGGGACCCACCCTGTGCGGGTCGACTTGACGTCCAAGCAGAAAGTTTAGGTCACGGGCGTCTGGAAGTTACGAGAGCCTCGTAAGCCATAGCTACAGCCTTGCCGCCTGCAGCCGGAGAAGCGAGTCACGGCCAGCGAGTGCGGACCACGCCGGACAAGAGCAGGGGCGGGTCAGGCGTCATTGCGCAGGCGCCCCGCTGTTTCCGTGGCAACGAGGACCGACTCACACCAACTGTTCGGCAACCGTCGGTCCCAGACTTTGGCTCGGCGGGAAATTATCTTCCCTAGCCTGTCTGCACCCTCACCCCAGTGCTGCTACCTAGAGTCAACTGGACCCGTTCTCCACGCTCGCTGACTTCGGCACAGACATGAGCGACCTGGAGCTGCTTCTACCCGGGGAGGCTGATGTGCTGGTGCGGGGATTGCAAAGCTTCCCGCTGCTCGAGATGGGCTCCGGAGGGTGAGGCAGCACCCGACCGAGGGTCAGCGGGGTACCTGGGAGATGGCCGCAAGGATTGTGGAGCGCAGCCCCGGGTTTCATCCTGACACTGCCGGGTGTTTCTCTCCTCTTATACACACACACACACGGGGAGGTCAGGGAAGTTATGGGATTAGGGTCTTCAGAAGGGTGGAATGCAGCCCTGATATTAGGCGGAGAGATTGCCCAGAGCGGAGGAGCCCCCAGCTGGGGAGGCAAAACTTTCTGGAATAAGGGAATATAGTCGTTTAGTGGGACCCCATCGCCTACTCAGACCACACACATCTGCACCCAAATACTTATAACTCTGGGGCAGGTGGAACCAGCAGCACGAGAACCTGGAGAAGCTGAACATGCAGGCCATTCTTGATGCCACCGCCAGCCAGGGCGAGCCCATTCAGGAGCTGCTGGTCACCCATGGGAAGGTATATTGGGGTCACAGTCAGGCTTCTTACCTTCAATCCCCTCCACCGCTACTCTATCTCTCAGGAACACTCTGGATACCTGTTCTTCCCTCTGGCTGGTCTGTAGCCTCCCCAAAGGAGAAGTATAATAAACATTTGCTTTTGCACCCCTGTTGAACAGGACCTTGGTACCCCAGACCAGCTTTGGGGCATGGGTTGATTAGGATATGGTGATCTTAAGATAGCCCAAGCTACAGGGGAGGACCATTCTTGGATCCAAGAGAGAGCTTAATAGGCTTGAGTTCTTGACTTGCTTTACATACAGGAGACCCAGGCTCCATCCCAACACTGCATGATCCTCATGCACTACTGGAGAAATCTGAAAAGTCAAGAGTATGGGGCCAGAGAGATAGTACAGAAGGATAGGCACTTGCCTTGCATGTGATTCCAAAGACTACAGCCCCAATTTGAATCCCTGGCACCACAATTTGAATCCCTGGTACCACATATAGTCCCCTGAGTATTGCCAGGGGTCATTTCCTGAGCACAGAATCAGGAATAGCCTCTAAGTACTGCCAGATATGGAGTAAAACACCCTCCCCCCCGCCAGGAATAATCCCTGAGCACTGCCAGGAATTGCCCCACAAAAAGCCCTAAATAAATGCCTTCCTGAATATAAGGTAAGGCCAGAGGGTCCGCCACTGAAATTGAGACTAGGATTTTACAATGGAAGAAGGAATCTGTTCTTTAAGGAAGTTAGAAGTCAGGAATTAGGGCAAAGAGATTAAGTTCTTGCCTTGTATTCAGCCAACCCCAGCTCAATCCTAGGATGGTCCCCCAAGCACTATTGGGAGTTTTTCCTATGCACAGAGCTAGGAGTAGCCTCTCCACAAAAAAAAAAAAAAGCCAGAGATATAGTACAGCAGGTAAGTTGCTTGACTTGCAACAAACCCAGGTTCAATCCCTGGCATCTCATAGCATCCCATATGGTTCCCTGAGCACTGCCAGGAGTGATTCCTGAGCACAGAGCCAGGAGTAACCCCTGAGCAATGCCAGGTGTGGCCCCAAATTTTAAAAAAAAATCATAAATTAGAGATTAGCCTTGCTGGATCAGGATCTAATAGATAACTTGACATATTATTCAACAAAAATGTTCCTCTGCAAGGAAAAAGGGTAAGGTGGCGGCACACAAGATCTCAGAAACCAGAGGCCAGGAAGAAGACAGGGCAGGAGCAGGAAGGCTGGCCTAAGAGGGACACCTGAATTGGGAGGAGAGATTCCATAGAGGGGAACCGGCAACCTGGGAACAAGACAAGGACGTGGAGCATGGGGGATGGGAAACAGGAGGAAGCTGGCCCCCACAGATGTCAGGAATAGCTGGAAGGTAAAACCAGCAAGAGAGAGGCAAAAAAGGTGGGCACGGAGCATGGATGAAGATGTGGGCAGAGCCAAAGTGATAATACAGCAAGAAGAGCACTTTCCTTGCATGTGACCAACCCGGTTCCATCTCCGGCACCACGTATGGTCCCCTGAGCCCTGCCAGGAGTCTCATTTCTAAGCATAGAGCCAGGAGTAAGACTGAGCACCACTGTCTCCCCATCTCCCCCACCAAAAAAGAAGAAGATGTGGGCAGAGCAGTGTGAGTCTGTGCCAGGGATAGGAGGGTTGCCAGGCCCAAAAAAGACTCCTCCTTGTCCCTGGTCCCTGCCCTTCCCCTGTGCTGCTCAGATCCCAACACTGGTGGAGGAGCTGATTACTGTGGAGATATGGAAGCAGAAGGTGTTCCCGGTTCTGTGCAAGCTGGAGGACTTCAAGCCTCAGAACACCTTCCCCATATACATGGTGGTGAGCTGCACCCTTGATTCCCTCCCTAGCTGCCCCTCCAGTGGGTGCTGGACTAGAAGGGAGAGTTGGCAGCCCCTGCAGCAGCTCCAGTCTGTGTCTGTCAGGTTCACCATGAGGCCTCCATCATCAACCTCCTGGAGACGGTTTTCTTCCATAAGGTGAGGCCCACCCTCCTCACACAACTCCTGTCCTGCCAGGGACCTGTTTTCTATGTGGGAAGCAACAGACAGAATGTCGTCCATTCTCTCTCCCCATCCTCTCCCTGCCGCCCCTCCCCGGCCCACTCCCCAGGAGGTGTGTGAGTCAGCAGAGGACTCTGTCTTGGACCTGCTGGACTACTGCCATCGCAAACTGACTCTGTTGGTGGCCCGGAGTGGCCATGGTAGCCCCCTGGAAAAAGAGGTGAAGGAGGAGGAGGAGGGGGAGTCCCAGTACAGCAACCCCATGCAGGTGGGTTGAGCTTCCCTGGGCCTGATGAAGGCTGGAAGCAGCAGGGGTGGCCCTGCCTAAGCACCCTGTGCCCCCCCCCCCCAGGAGCTGCAGAAGCAGGCAGAGTTGATGGAGTTTGAGATCGCACTGAAAGCCCTCTCCGTGCTGCGCTACATTACAGACTGCGTGGATAGGTGGGCAGCCTGCTGTGGAGGGCTGGGAGCTGGGCCTGCGGCCTGTTCTCAGCGGCTTCATTCCCCACTCCTAGCCTTTCTCTGAGCACCCTGAACCGCATGCTCAGCACCCACAACCTGCCTTGCCTCTTGGTGGAGCTGCTGGAGCACAGTCCCTGGAGCCGGCAGGGGGAAGGAGGTAAGGCCTCCCCGTCAGCCTAAGCTCCAGCTCTCTGCTTCTAGGCCAGCCTCCAGAATTGAGGGAAGTGAGGCCCACAGAGAGCCGCAGGCCACCTTGCCCAGTATGAGCCTATGCTTGGGCTTGGTAGTAGCCCATGTGTCCATCCGGAGGACTTGCAGTGCTCTGGATTGAACAGCACCCTAGCCTAGACTGGTCCAGAGACCTCCTCTGCTTCCTCTCCCTAGGCACACTGCAGCGGTTTGAGGCAGGCTGCTGGAAGACAGTGGCCCCCTCAGAGCAGCAAAAGCTGAGCAAGTTGGATGGGCAGGTGTGGCTCGCCCTGTACAACCTGTTGCTGAGCCCTGAAGCCCGGGACCGCTACTGCCTCACCAACTTTGCCAAGGGACAGCTACTCAAGGTGAAATCTTCCCATACTGCCCAAGCCCCACTCACCCCAGCCCTCTACCTATGGGCCTCAGGAGACACAGCCACTAATGCAGAGTTAGGTCAAATGTGTCTGGCCTATCAAATAGCCCTTTATTTCTTTGTTGTTGTTGTTGTTTTTGTTTGCCACGCCCTAGGTGTGCTCCTGATTCTCAGAGTTCTCCTGGCAGGGCTCAGGCAACTATATGCTGCAGTGCTAGGAATGGTGTTCAGGAGCCATATGGAGTTCTAGGGATTGAATCTGGGTCAGCCATGTGCAGGGCAAGCACCCGACCTACTGATAGCACAGCGAGTAGGGCGTTCGCCTTACAAGCGGCCAACATGGCCGACCCAAGTTCGATCCCTCCGCCCCTCTCGGAGAGCCCGGCAAGCTACCGAGAGTATTCGATATGCCAGACACAGTAACAACAAAGTCTCCAATGGAGACGTTACTGGGCCCGCTCGAGCAAATCGACGATCAACGGGAGGGCCTTTACCTTTACCTTTTATTTCTCAAGTCCCAGTAAATGCTTTCTCAGGGGGAAAGAAAAATTGTGCGCTACCCCACCAAATTTTTCTTCTTTTTTATTTTTTGGTTTTGGGCCACACTCTGCAATGCTCAGGGTTCCTCCTGTTTCTGCATTCAGGGATTACTTCTGGGAGTGCTTGGGTAACCATATGGGGTACAGGGATCAAACCCAAATCAACTGTGTACAAGGAAAAAACCCTACCCACTGTACTATCTCTCTGGCCCAAAATCTACCTACCTACCTAACTTCTTTTTTCTTTGGTTTTGATGTTTTTGGGTGACACTGGTGATGCTCCAGGTTTACTCCTGGCAGTGCTCAGGGAACCAAATCAGATGCTAGGGGTGGAACCTGGGTCAGCTGTGTGCAAGGCAAAGCGTACCATCACTCCAGTCTCCTAAATCTACCTTCTTTGAGGCAAAACAGAAAGTGGCCCCTAGTTACCCTCAAGGTCACTACAAGCCCCATTAGATCGTTGCAGTGTAGTGGCCCACTTGGAAAACTCGGCAGTAGTGGGATGTGGGCCCTGCGAGCACCTTTAGCCCAGCCTTGATCTGTTCTTTGGTCCTCGGGTCAGCATGATACTGACTTCCCCTCAACACCCTTCCAGCTTCGGGCCTTCCTCACAGACACTCTAGTGGACCAGCTGCCCAATCTAACGGACCTGCAGGCCTTCCTGGCCCACCTGGCCCTGACTGAAGCCCAGTCCCCGAAAAAAGACCTGGTGTTGGAGCAGGTAGGCACTAGGAAGTCCGCACTTCAGGAACGCTGTCGCCTATATCCATTTCTCCATGCTCCTTGCCACTTTCCTACCCCAGATCCCAGAAATCTGGGCGCGTCTGGAGCAAGAGAACAGAGGCAAGTGGCGGGCTATCGCCAAACACCAGCTGCGAACCGTGTTCAGTCCCTCTGAGCGGGACTTGCGACTGCAGGCAAGGAGGTGCGGACAGCTGCTGCGGCCGGCAGGGGGGAAGGGGTGCTCCGGTGTCCCCTGCCAGGTCCAGTCAGGCCCCCCTGACCCTTTCCCAGGTGGGCTGAGACCTACAGGCTGGACGTGCTACAGGCAATTGCTCCAGAGAAGCCCCGTTGCGCCTACTGCAGCGCAGAGGCCTCCAAGCGCTGCTCTCGGTGCCAGAAGGAATGGTACTGCTGCAGGTGAGGTGGGGGAGGGGGGTCTTAGAACCTGGGACTCAGAACCCCACTCCCACATAGGCCACCAGCTCACCGTCCATCTGCTTGCAGGGAGTGCCAGGTCAAGCACTGGGAGAAGCACAGGAATGTTTGCAAACTGGCCGACCAGAGTGACAGAGCCAAGTGAAGGCTGAGGAGCCTGCGGGCCATCCGCTATACATACAGGCCGTCCAAAGTGCTCCCCTGAACCTCTGCCCAGCACAGCCTCCGAGGTGGCGAGCACAGTCGGGTGGTGACAAGCCGCTGCGCCTCCTCCCCCTCCGCGGAGCAGCCCCCGCTTCCTGCCTCACCCGACCATCGGCTGACACAGGAGGCCCGGGCGGGTGGGGGTTGAGGGGCAAGGGCCGGATGTGGGGACCCTCTTCCTCTAAGCACAGTAGTAAAGCTGGCCTCCAGAAACATGTGTCTCTGAGCGGCCTTCTGTGGTTGCTGTCGTTCGGGGGAGGGAAGGAAGGGAAGGCGGGGACTCTGTGGGAACGTCCCCCACCCCCTCCACCCCCACCCCCGTCGCCCCACACTGCCTGCGGGCCGCCACAGCCGGGGGCCCAGGTTTCCATTGCGCGGCGCGACTCGGCCCCACCGACCAGGCCAGCATCCCGGGGGGCGGCGCCGCATCGGGCCCGCCCCGCAGCCGCGCCCGCCCGGCGCTCACTCGCTCGCGCCCGGCGCGGGTCGGGAGTCCCGAGTCCCGGCCCGCCCGGGCCATGTCAGCGGAGCCTGAGCTCATTGAGCTACGAGAACTGTCCCCTGCGCGGCGCCCAGGCCCTGGCCGCACCCGGCTGGAGCGCGCCAACGCGCTGCGCATCGCTCCGGGCACCGCGCGCGACCCCGCACGGCAGCTGGCCCCCGGCCGCGGCCACCGCTTCCAGCCCGCGGGGCCTGCCACACACACGTGGTGCGACCTCTGCGGCGACTTCATCTGGGGCGTCGTGCGAAAGGGCCTACAGTGCGCGCGTGAGTAGCGGCCCCGCACGCTGGCGAGAGCCAAACAGGCGGCAGAGGGGTAGCTCGTGTCGCTGTGGGTCAAGTTGTGATGGAGGGGGTAGGTGGGGACGACCCCAAGGACCAGGTCCGTTACTGTTGCCCCAGGTGAGAGTTCAGACAAATGGTTTTCGTCCTTGCCTCCGACCTGTCGGGGGTGTTGGGCAGAGACTGCCAGTATGTAACCAGGCATGGATTTCAAGTTTTAACCTTGGCCCTTGAGAAAGACTTTAATAGGCACCTACTAGTCTTTTAAACCCATATTCCCAGGTGTACCCTCAATCGAAGATCACTTATCTGTCCCTCACTCCAGAATCCCTGGGGTGAAGAGGACTTATGTACCTATGGAAGGCCAGGAAAAAGAAGGTTTTTTTGTTTTTTGTTTTTTTGCGGGGGGGGGGGGGGCGTGCCCTGCAAGCAGGAATTTATGTTGAGGTTTTATTTAGCCAATACCCATTGCAGACCCCATGAGCCGGGTGCTAAACGATGAAACCCAGCCATTTTGCCCTTTCAGGAATCACCAGACAAGCAGAGAGGTTAGGTTGCTCTCCCACTTGCTTATGTCAGATCACTGGGAATGTTTCAGTTCTCCATCTGCTCTTCCTGAAGCTCACCTCAGGCTTGTTGAATCCGTCATTGGAAGTGTATCAGATTTAAAAAAAAAATGATGCTAACGGGCCTCCAAGGATAAGAATCATTCCTCTAGCCCATAAAGATATTTCGCTTCCTTGTGCCCCAGGTCAGAGTGCGTAGGGAGACTCTGGTTCCGTATAGGAGTCTGTCCTGACTTCAGCTGCAGGAAAATTAACAAGGGCTGGGACACTGCAGTGTTTGCAGGGGGAAATAAAGTGATCCTAACAAGGAAAAACAGGACAATGTGTGCATCAGAGGCAGAAAGGGAAGAATCAAAGATGAGTTTTGGGGTTAGAGAGATAGCACAGCAGGTAGGGCACTTGCCTGGCATGGCACCAACCCAAGTTCAGTCCCCGCACACCATGTGGTTCCCCAACCCCCTCCAGGAGTGATTCCTGAGCACAGAACTAGTAGTAAACCCTGAGCACAGCCAGGTATGTCCACAGCTCAATATTTTTTTTAATAAAAAGAAAAAAGGATGAATTTGTGTGTGGGTTTCTTGGGGGTGGGGAGGGAGTTCTTTTGCCTCAAACTGGGAAAGTAGTAGCTATCATTGCTGGGATAAGAAAAAAAAATTCAGTTAAATTTTGAAGCTGTCAGTTTGAAATGAGGAGGCATTCAAGTGGAGATAAGGACACCACAATAGCATTTGATTGGGGATATGATGGAAGCCTTGGGTCTGGGACCTGTGAGTGTGCACAGTGCAGGGGGAGATCAGGACCAAACCCAGGACCCTGTGCCATTAAGGGCTGTGATCTGAAACAACTAACAAAATAGCTGCAGTGGAAGTGGGAGGGAAACTGAGAGTATGGGCTCCTGGGCAATCATGGGAGCCAGCAGTGCTCAGGAGGTGAATGTGCCTTCCAAGGAGCACTGGATGAGGCAGTGCATCAGATGCTAAGGACCCTAAACCAATTAAGTTTCCTGTGGGGAGAGACAAGCTGATAGGTAGTGAAGGCAGGACAGAGATAGTACAGCAGGTAGGGCACTTGCTTTACACATAGCTCACCCAGATTTGATCCCTGTATTCCATATGGTTCCCCAAGCACTACCAGGAGTGATTCCTGAGTGCAGAGCCAGGAGTAAACCCTGAGCATCACCAGGTGCAGGTGTATCCTCCTCCCCCCACACCAAAAAATAAAGGAGTGAAGGCGAGGAATCAGTGTGTATAGACCAGTGCTGATAAATTTTGGTGTGAATAGAGACCAATGACAACTAAAGGGAGACCAATGGCAATTAAAGGGTTTGTTTGTTTTTTTAATGCCTTTAAGTAAATGGGCGAGGGGGAGTTAATTCATCAGTTCTGCGGCAGGCACTAGCAATTCAAAGGTGGAGCAAACCCGGATCCAATTCAAAGATGGAGCAAACCCGGATCCGTAATGCCTGAGGACTTCCCAACAGTTTCCTGAAGCTGAGGGACCAATACTAAGGGGCTATAGCAATAGTGATAAACACCACTGAGTGATCAGCAGTGAACCCAGCAGGCAGTCTTCACCCCGGGGCTTCTTTTCCATTCTTGAAACGACTTTCCGAGCTGGAGAAGGGGCTTCTCCGCCTCACAGCCAGACTTCTCTGCAGATTGCAAGTTCACCTGCCACTACCGTTGCCGCGCGCTCGTCTGCTTGGACTGCTGCGGACCCCGGGACCTGGGCTGGGAGCCGGCGCTGGAACGGGACACGAATGTGGTGAGCGCGGGATGGGGAGGCGCACGGGCAAGGCCGGGATACACAAAGGAACCAGCCACATTACAGGCATTCTGGAGGGTCGCCCGGGTGTTTCACACAATGACCATTCCAAGAAAAGAGTAATGCGGCAGGAGAGAGGGGCAAACTCAGCACAACGGCCTGAAGGGGTGCCAGGTGCTCGGAGCGGCTGAGGTCCCGCGCACGCGCGACTCCGGTACCCTCCCACATCCGCCGTGGGCCTTGTGGCCACGCTGGTGCACATGCGCACTCGCTCCGACGCGTTCCCCGCCGGAGTGGGGGGCCTGCGAGGTGGAGCTTAGCGAGCTGCTTGGGCGATTAAGTCATTGCTGAAGGCGGGGCGTAAGCGGCCCCGCCCTCCGACGTTGTTTCCCTGACTGGTCTAGATCTGGGTCCGGGCTGTCGACGTTTCAGTGTTAACGGTTGCGGCGCGTACGCGGGGCCTGGTGCACGCGCGCACTGACAACGCACGCGCACACGCGCCCGGGTTGGTGGTTGTAGGTCCAGGCGCACGGGGGTAGGAGATCTGGCGGGTGGCAAGGTAATGGGCGAGACGGACGCGGGGACGCCCTCTTTCGAGATGACCTGGAGCAGCACGACCAGCAGTGGTTACTGCAGCCAAGAAGACTCGGATTCGGAGCTCGAACAGTACTTCACAGCGCGCACCTCGCTGGCGCGCAAGCCGCGCCGAGACCAGGTGGGGGGCCGGAGGTGGCGGGCGGGGGTGGGGGTGGTCGGCGGGGACCCCGCCCTCCCCGTAAGTTGCCGGGTCGAGAGTGTGCGTAGGCCCGCCTTTTGTGTCTGCGTGGATCCGGCCCGGCTCGGGGCCAGCCTGCAGAACTGTCGGATTCAGCCCCTTGGTTGTGTGCGCCAGGGACGCCTTGTGCTGCCTGCCACAGACTGGTTGAACCAGGGGACGCAGCCTCGTGGTTTTGGGTTAGAGCAGGGAAGGGCATTATCCATCTATGAGTAAAGCCAGCTGCGGGGTCTGGACCAATACCTCCATTTCCGCGTTGGAGCGCACCCACCCCCTCTTCTGGGGGACCGGGAGGAGGAAGTGGAGAGGGAGGAGTCCTCGCCGGGAATTGAAATGTATGCTTAGGAGAGAGGCGAAGGAAAGCACTCTTGTTGGTCGCCCCACCCCAGCAACGTTCACCAGCGAATGGAATGTGGGAGATTCTGGGCTCCTTTCTGAAGCAGACGGAGAGTGCTTGGTCTATATACTTAGTATATACGCACATGTATACCAAGATCGGTTGATTTCAGAAAGGGGATTTGGGAATGGCTAGGTAGGAAACATTATTTTAAACCGTAAGCATCCGGGCGCACTTTACCACACCAGGGTGGAGAGAGCTAGATTGTAAAATGGCCTGGAAGGCGTCAAGAGAGAGGAGGCTCCTAATCTGGACTCAGTGGTGTGGAGCAGCCGAACATGCAGTCGCCGAGGTGTCTCCCTTGTCAGACATTTCTGTGCTGTGTGTTTTCAGTGTGACAGCCAGCATCAGATAACATCTGGAAAGTGAGATAGGATGGGGAAACGTAATATAACTAGCAGCAGTGGGATAGCATTCCTTACATAGATCATGAAAAGGAGTGGTGGGTGATTTTCAGAAGAAAGTTCTATACTCTGTTCTTTTGTGTTTTAGTTTTGGGGTCACACCCATCAATGCTCAGGTGTGTGGCCCAGAACTCTAGGCTGTGAGCTCAGGAATCATTCCTGGCAGAGCTCAGGAAATTGAATATATATGCAGTGCTGGAAATTGAACTTGGGTCACCTGCATTTAAAGCAAGCACCTGGGGTGGGGGGCGGCTTGAAGGTGTGTGTGTGGGGGGAAAACTGGGGACACCAGTACACTGGTGCTGGGAAATTACACAGGTGGAGG